TTAAGGACATTGTTTTTTTCGTATTGGGTATATTCATCACATAATGGTCGCATACTTTGATCCATTGTGATATATTTCCTGTTTTTATATTGCTTTATCAGTATGTCGTATCACTATTTTGTTAAGCTACCGACATAGACTGACCAAAAGCATTTTCCCCATTTCGAATGAAATATTCTTCTTGACTAGAACCTGCATTCCAAATATCAAAGGGTTCTGCCAGCCCCTTATCCAGAAAAATACGCCTTTTTATTGAAAATTGCTGTATAAGAGCATAGCAGGTGTTCAAATTCTTCCTGTTCTATACCACAGAATTGACACATATCCTCTTGAAGGTTTCCTATTAACTTCAAGCGTTATTTACATGGACAATGTCCTTGTTATCAAACCAGTATAGACACTGAGATCTTTCTTTGATAATTCAAGAATTCTGCTAGTCATTGAAATGTTCGGAATTATGAACCGCTTCGACTGCCTAGTTGGTCTCCACTTTCATTTTTTTCCCATTTCATGATCTCCATTTTAAGGGAAAAAACAGAAATTCCACAGAATGGTTCTGGTCCTATGAATTGTTGAGATGATCCTAGCCTTGATAATGTGTCGGCTTTTTCATTCCCTTCAATTCCACAGTGACCAGGAACCCAAAATAGGTTCACCTGGTTTCAACAGGCCAATTTCTGAAGTGACATTGCACATTCCCATACGAGTTTTGAATTGCATGTTGCTGATTTTAAAGCATTGTCAATGCTACTTGACTATCAGACATAATGCAGATATTCGAAAGTTGCTAATTTCTGCGCAAGTATATTACAGAATTGCTTGTATTTCTGCATGGAACACGGTTGGCCAGTAACCCATAGATATTGAGATATCTATCCCTGGACCGGTTAATCCTGCTTCCACACGATTGTACAATCTTGAACTGTCTGTATGAAAAACAGTTGAACCTGGACGGATGTTTGGTCCCCCACTTGAACTTTGAGAAAATGTTTAGTTGTTGCTATGGAAATTCTTGAGACAATTCTAAAAAAAATCTGTATTTAGTTCGAAGTTGATTCAATCGCAGAAAGCTTTTCTAGCACAGAAGGAAAACAAAATTATGAGACTGAAGACTTTTCAATTTAATATCTCATTCTTAGAATAGTTCTTTTGATTCTGGATTAAGAAAAATCTTCAAGATTAGAAGAGGTTTTTTTTTATTTCCAGGACTTCTGGAACAAACGAAGCATTGCTGATTCAAAACTGACTAAAAGATGAACTAGCCTATGGCTAAAAATCTCTCAAATAAAGGATAAAAAAAAAATATTCAAAACTAATAAAAATGTGCACACTTAGATTATTTGACAGAAGTCAGTATTTTTTACTGGGGTTTTGAATAGCTGAAAAATTCGGTAAAAATTCAAAAGACCGTTATCCGTTATCAATTAAATTGACAAATTTGATTTTCTATCGATAAATAGAGTTCACATAACGAAGGTTGTGTTCCGTTTCTTAAATTTTCACTTAAATTTGACACTCCGAAAATAAATCGAACATCCCTCTGTTGTTGATCGTTTGATTTTCGCGAAGGTGTTTGTCAAAATTGATTACTTGTCTGTCAGAAATAAGTCTGGTGAAAAAGCAGGTATGTTTGAAAATATTCCATCTATCAAATTTAATGAAAATTCCCCAAATAGGGCACAGCCTAAGTCTGTAAAAGTTAGGAACAAGTGATTTTTCTCAGATTTTTTAACTTTTACCGAACAGTTCCGCAATTCAAAAACCCAGTAAAACCTTTGAATTAGTTTATGCGAAATGCCATGTTTTGAAATGTTTAATATTGAGAAATTAAAATAAATCAAGTGTCTGTAACTACAAATATTTTAAAATTTCTGGCACATTAAAAATCTCTAATGGGTTATGCTTGAACAAGTTTTCAAAACTTTTATTTTTGTCAATTTTTGACTTTGCAACATTTGCGATAGCTTAAACGCAGTAACACAAATTATCGACTCCTATAACTAGATTTGTTTAAACTAGCTTACTAGAAAAAATCAAGCCTCTATTTCAATACATGTTCACCTAAAATATTGAAAGGACATATAAGTATCACAAGGACAAACAAAATACATTGGATTATATGTTGTGGTAAATAATGGCCAGCATTTCTGTTAAAAATTAAAGTATGCAAAATTCAGTAAAGAATTAATTTTCGTTTATTTAAATAATGATTATTCGCTTTATGTACAATGTATAACTTCATCTGGATATGTATTTCTAATAAATGTAGTTTTCTAATTAATTTTGTTTGGACTAGAATCTAGAATGAAAAGAACCTTAAAAAACACAATTCAAGCCTAAGAATTTATGACTCCAGAATTCTTATGTTCAAACTAACAAGGAAGATAAAGTTCTTCTTCTTCTTCTTAGCATTTCAAGCTTATTGCATATCGCATATTAGCTTATTGCGTGCTCTCAACTTAGTGTTCTAGATGCACTTCCACAGTTACTAATTGAGAGCTTTCGATGCCTGTACCATTGGTATAATTGTGTGGCAAGTCCAATCATACTTCTATGCCCAGAAAGAAATTCGAGAAATTTTCCAACCCGATAAATTCCTAGACCGGACCGGGAATTGAACCAAGCCACCTCCAGCATGGTCTTGCTTTGTAGCTGCGCCTTTACCGACTGAGCTAAGGGAGACGCCATACATAAAGTTGTTTATATTATAAACTATTTCAAAATTAATGACAGGTTCCCTGGTGTATTTCAATATAATCTATTCTAAAAAAAATGCTTCATAAAGTAATTTTAAAATTCCCGTTTTTTCAGGTAAAATAAAATTTCCTGAAGATTCCAGGTATTCCTGGTTTTTTTTTTATGTAGTAGACACCCTGTAAACGGGAAATATGGATACGCTAATAAACAAATACCATTAACGAACTGTATCCCGGATGGGTAAACTATCCCACAAATGGTTTGGACGATTACCCGAACACGTCGTTAAGCTCTCTTTTATGGTTATTTTTATTAGGCTAGGGCAATCAATTTAGAAGTCATCTAAATATAGAAGAAAAATTTCTTTTGGTTTAAAAATCCGCTCGAAAAAGAAAAGGAGAGTGTGGGTTGTGCTTAGTAGGCCCAAAATTAGATCTAACCCTTATTCACTAAGGTGCCTTTGACTCTCTACACTCAAATTAAGCGTCAGATATACTTTAAATTCAAGTATGATTTTTGACATTATCTGTAGAGTCTGTTAACTGTGTAGCAAACTAATACCCATTTTTTCATATTTAATATCTCTCAACAAAATCTCTACTTGATGATTTCCTTGACCTTGACCGTTATGTGCTCGACAGGGTACCGGGGTGCCCAGTAGACTGCTACAACATTTGAACTTATCGCTCCACAATGCTCAAACGGTTCCAAATTGGGTCCTGATTAGCCTCCCAAAATTTTATCTCATTTAGTAAGAAACTGACTTGGCACAAACTTTTTCATTTTATATGGAAATTACTATGGACAACCAATGTTTTTGTTCATATTTATCGAACAATTCACCATATCAGTCTGCTTTAAAAAAATTATAGCTGCGCTTTTAGAATATTTTCTCAACTGCAATTTTGTTGTAGACCAGTTTTCGATCAACTGTAAGGAACAAAAGTTATTAATGCTTAGCTACTGATGTCTTATGATTATGCTCAATCAACTGTTCGGCACGCAAAATTAGTGTTTCTGCCGCGTAGAATAGAGCACAACAATCATGGCTACTATGTCACACTGCAGAATACAGTGTTGCCTATAAAACAGCTGCTGGATCATGCCATAAGATTATAAATCTCTTAAACAATTAATAAGTATTTAATTTGACGTTTGCCTGAAAACGATCTTACCAAAAAGTTGTACCTGAGAAAATTTCTCATAATAATAACTGTAGAACTTTTTAACAGTGTAATATGGAAAACGGCTAGAAGACTTTGAAGGACAAATTTGGTTTTCCCATAGTAATTTCCATATAAACTTCAAATGGTTTGTGCCAAGTAAGTTTCTTACCAAATAAGCTCAAATTTTGGAAAGGCTACTCAGGACCTGATTTGGAACCGTTTGAGCACTGTGGAGCGAAAATTTCAAAATTTCACGGTGTAGAAAAAAGCAAAAAATAATGTCGAGCACATAAAGGTTTTATAACGCTAGTTTACAACATATTTGAACTTTGTACGTTGATGGTCATTTCCCATGTAAAATCGTGCGCTGAATCCAAAAATGTAGTCCAAAAAGATCTCAGTAGGATAGTTTTCGAAACATAGTTAAAAAATTAAATTTCTTTTTAAAAAAATGTGTTTACTAAAATACAACTATCTCCGACTGTAATGAAGCTATATTATATATTTAAACGCCAAATTATATATGATAAAATTTGCTTTCGATCGTTTAGAACCTTTTTTTAGTGAGATTAATGGTACGACTACTACAAACATTTTTATTTACACTGCTTAAATTAATTTTTTCATAGAAAAATGCAAAATATAAAAAAAAAATAAACAAACTATTACTTAACAACAATAACACTATTATCACTGACAATTGATGTTCAGGAGATTGAAAGAAAATTTTGTCACCTTCAATTTGGCGTTAAAAAAATTGATATAATCTTATTAAATCGGAGATATTTGTATTTTAGTAAACACACTTTTTAAGTGAATTTTCATTTTTAGCTGCATCTCAAAAACTATCCTACTGAGATTTTTTTTTTGACAACGTTTTTGGATTCAGCGCACTATTTATAAGAATCATTGGTCAAAGATTCAAGTTAATTTCTTTTCCTTTTTTTTGTAAACTATTTTAATATATCGAGTTCATTTATATAGAGACGTATACCCCTCTTAAAAAAAAAAAAAAAACTCATCCAAACACGTTTAAAAACCATTATATGCAGTGATTATTTTATCACACAATAATTACATCTTTCCTAAAGTACCGATGTAACAATTCCATTCTCCACACTCATCCCTCTTCCACAGAACAATGTCGGATCCATCACGTTAGTCAAAACCCGCGAAGCGACATTCACTGACATCCTTCATGGTAATCCGGCGCAGTATCGGGTTAACTTCCCGCTTCAAAACGTTCTGCCGACGGTGCTCAATATTGCTCTTAATGGACAAACCATCTGTACGGGCTACCGTGCTCAAGGACGCATCATAACCACCATCAATCTCGAGCATACATTGTACACCGAGCTGAAACCGAATGGAATCCGAAACAACAATGGTTTCCAAAACCAGCCGCCTATCGACACTAATCAGCTGTTCTATCAACAATCCCATCCAGTAGTACGTCCAAAGCCTCAACCACAGCCTAGGCCCACAAACCCACCGCAGATTTCGTATCAGCCCCAAACGCCTCGCCCCAATCGCGAACGTACCACTATATCACCGCCAGTTTCCTCTGCTAGCTTGTAAGTACATATGGAAGGTATACCAGATTGTAATATCTGGTACAGTTCCGCTAATCATTGTTCAATTTTCCAAAACACACATTTGTAACACATCAACTATTCCGTTTCAGCACCTGCGGCAAGCCGTCCAGTTCCTCCTTGAACCGTCTCTCCTTCAATGGTGAACGTGTGGACAAAGGTCAATTCCCGTGGATAGTGCCTCTGTTCGATCGTGATCAGACTCGTGAACCAACCTACATATGCGGCAGTACGGTCATCTCCAAAAGGCATTTGATTACCGCGGCCCACTGCATCTACGAATTTGATGACTTTATCAAAGCGGAACGGCTGCTCGCCATACCGGGAATGTACAACATTGATAACTTTGCAGACGAGAATGCCAAGTTTGCCTACATCGAATCGGTCCATCCACACGGGGATTACGATTATGAAGATGACCTGAACGATGCGGATATAGTAATACTAAATCTGAAGGAGGTGTTGACCTTCTCTGAATATATCATTCCTATTTGCTTGTGGAAGGACGCCAATGATCTGGAGCGAGTTGTCGATCAGGAAGGCGTCGTAGCTGGTTGGGGTGTGACAGAAAATGGATCAACCTCGATTCCGACGTACATTAAAGCGATAATCGTATCCCGGAAATCGTGTCGAGATAATGTTGAAAGGATGCTTCCACAAAATACACGGGTGTTCTGCGGTGATGGTCGAGGCTCAGCCCCTTGCAATGGTGATTCGGGTAGCGGGTTCGTTCTGAAACGCGGCAACCAGTACTACCTGCGAGGTATTGTTTCCAAGGGTCAGCAAGATCGCACAACCCTGATATGTGACGTCAACAAATTTGCAATATACACCGACGTTGCGCCGTTCCGGTTCTGGATCAGAGAAACCATGGGCTTGTGAAGAAAGCAAAAGCGAAACACCAACCATCGAAAAGACTTTTTTTTGTTGAAGTGGCGAGAATCAGCAACTGAACCAAGAAGTCAACAGAAATAGGCATAATCTGTGTTTTGATCGGATTCTGATGCCATTTGCTGTGATTATTACAAACCAATCTGATTAATTATATTTAAATAGAAATAATTACCCTATGGCGTAAATGTCATATGTTTTCCGTATCCTACCCTGCTTTTGAACGAGTAATAAAACCGCTACAGGCAACTACGCTTCCAGTATTGCAGATCACCGATCACATATCAAAATACCATAGAATAGAATTTCTGTACAACAGCCTCCTGTAGGAGGGACGGTCACCCACACCACAGCTTGCAAACACACTGCTTCTACTTCTCCCTGACATTGACGCTTTTTTTTTCGAGCTTATGTATGCCTGCTCTCAACTTAGTGTTGTTTTAAGCAGCTATTAGGGGAAACGCTCCTATAGTTGCGGTACGTTAGAAGCGTTAGGTTCCTATAGTTGTGCATGGAAACTCAATACACAACTATAGGAACCTAACGCTTCTAACGTACCGCAACTATAGGAGCATTTATCCTAATTGAGAGCCAGTCCATGCATGGATTTATATATTTTTGATGCTCAAAGAAATCTTGAAAATTTCCAACTCTAACCATGCCTTAGCTGACATTCTGAGAGTCCAAGCACATCGCTATAGACGGAGAATATCCTGTTCAGGGGTCATGAGGGATGGCGATAAGGAAGAACTTATATGAATGATGAAAAAGCGATGAATAATGAATTCCAAGAATCAACAAATCACTTTCTAGTTTTCCTATCTTTTGATGGGATGCGGTTCATTACACTATGCGCCACGACTTTCTAGGACAGGACAAGTTAACCGTATTTGACGTTTTATGGTCTCTAGAAGTCTAGAATAAATGTTTGGCCTAACAAGATACGTTTTTTAGAAACCGCTCGCTTTATGAGGCTGTATCGCCCTATAGGCATGTGTGTGAGACCGTCAACGAGCTTGCAATATGGGCGTGGGGTGAAACATAAGGAAAGCATTTTCAAATGTTTTAGACAAATATTCCTCTAGTCATTTTCTACAAATGGCCCATGCACAACAGTAATGACCAATATCGTAAATAATATAGTACCTTAAAAACGTGACGTGCATACCACCACATAACATAATATGGAACTTCATGCAAAAAGCTGACTCAAATCTGACCCCTTTTTGGTTTTGCCTCAAAGGTATAACTGGCATAGTTGGACATCGATCTGTCAAAATAAAATTTTCATGATATCGACACTGAGCATTCATAAAGACCAATGTCGAAAACATAAATAATGGCTTCTTTGATAAATGTCTCGTAGGTCAAAGTCAATCCATGTAAGCCACTAATTTCATCGGATATGAGGACTCTTTCTCTACACAATCATGGTGTTGGTTTTCTTGAAGGAGTTTTCATTTTCGAGAAATTCAAACAAAAAGATATTGTTTACGTTTGCAGCATTGGCCCTTACGAAAGTAAGCATTGGCGTTGACGGCGACTCTGCAACTCGTTAATCCTGGTAAAATCCCATAAGCATCTGACAATCTGTGCATGAAATCTATAGCGGACTTTGTTTTATCTCTTCATTCCTCCAACAAACCGCCGTTTATTCACGCAAAGATTGACATAATTGTCGTGACTGAACCGAGGATTTTACCATAGGAGTAAAGAGTTACAGCGTGACCGAAGAGGCGAATTGTCAATAGACACGTTGATGCGCAATGAGATGGTGTTCGTCCGCTGTTCAAATGCTTGGCGGAGTTTGACGTGTGGGCATTCTTTTTTCGACTACACTCAAAAAAATCCACACGTTTGATCGAACTGTTTAAACACTTGATTTTTTAAATGCACAATCACATTTACTTTATTTCACCTTATTTCAATGTGTTATACACGTTAATTTCTAGTGTTTCAAACTTTGAAAAGTTGAAAATCTTTCACTATCTATTCAAGTGTATTGCACATTGAATCACACTACTGTTAAAAACAGATGGATTTAAAGTGTTTTGCATTTCAATACGATGCGAATTGCTTGCTTAGAAAGGTAAACATCGAAAACAAGAGTTGTGACTTTATCCTATCAAACCGTCTCATATATGAGAACAACCGTGGCACAGTGAGATCGAACGAAGACTCCGACAGCAGCACACCCCAACAGTCCATGATCGAATCCCAAATCAGACCCATTAAAAAGATATGTGAAAGCTCTGGCCTCTGAAATTTGTTTATATATTTGTCGATTCATTTTTAGAGTCGGTAAAGTAGAAGTCGATAAAGTAGAACATTGTAGAATATTGAACTATGAAGTGCAAAGCTATTGATATCACCATATGAGGCACATAGAATCCAAGTGTGTCACAATTCAAATCCATAGTGTTCAGGCATGGTTCATAGCATAAGATTCACACATGAAATGGATGTGTTTCACAATAAGCGCAAAATTAAGTGTGAGACACATGATGGTGACGCGTGCAATTTTTTGAGTGTAGCTCGACAAGGGGCTTTTCAAAGGATTTTTTAACTAGTATGTTCAAGTCGGTCAGAAGCCAATCAAGAGCGTTGTTATTCCGTGATATTGCCTATTTACAGATGCATTATTTCTACATCTTATTGGTTTGCATTCGATTCATGACAGAAATTATGTTAATTGAAAGTAATTTATTGCAAACAATTCGAAGATTTGAGGATTACGTTTAATAGGTGTAAAATTATCATTTTGTCTGTCTTATGTTGAAATATTCTTAACTGTGCTTTTAGTGAGTTAACTTATGATTACATCACGAAATATCGAGTTGATGCATATTAACGATTATTTTCGTTAGTAAATAGTGCTTAACTTTGATACAGTTAGCTAGGAGTCCCACCCTGAGACCTTAGGCATAGTGGTCGAAAAAAAGTATGTAATGAATGTGTGTAGCTCCTCTTTTGCCTTTTCAATCAACAAGGATCAACCTTACCATGTTTTTTGTTAAAAAGTAATTGGAGTAGTTCTTTGTGTTGGGATTTTTGAGGAAATTTTCAATTGACGGCAAGCTAAAACATAGAGAAATCTTGGGTATCGATAAGCACTCGATTTCATTTATCGTTCTGCTTTCAAAATTCTTGCTAATGGAACGATGCAAAGTCAACTCAAAACACTGAATATTTTTCAAATGGTACTTCTGACTCTTGTTCCAAATGTTGCTGCTTCTCTCTGGACTTCAAAATGTAAGCACTTAATTCCAAATTTACGCGGTCATGTTTTTCCTCCTAATGAAAGCAATGTTTGATGCAATTGGTTCCAAAAAATAGAAAGTGTCCAAAGAAGGAAATGTTACATACATGTTTCTTCTAAGTTTACCACAGTTTTGCTGTGTGAATCAAGGTGATGAATATGTTAAAGTTAGCTATATCATTTTATAAAAAAGCACATAAATGGTTAAGGAAATCGTAAGACATGAGTTCAGGAGTGCTAGGAACACATAGAATTATAAACCACGGTAGAATCATTCAAAAGATTTGACAAGCCCCTTGATCCCCTTCTCATTTTACAGCTGGTATAATCAATTTGACAGATCGATGTCCTTCTATACCACTTGAAATCACTGAAAAGGGGTCGATTTTTTATGATCGAGTTCCACATATGTTATGTGATACCACGCTCGGTAATGGCGGCTTGACCGGATTTTAAAATGCATCGTCCACTGTAGTTTGTGACACTAACTGGCCCAATCTTTAGATCTTTAGGTCAAAATTAGGGCAATTTCCCCTAGCTTTTATAAACTGACGTTGAAGCGCCAAAATAGCCATAAAACAACTAACATAAAAATCAAAAAGACGCCATGAAATGCCCGAAACATAAAAACACTAAAATAAAGTTTAACAACTCCCAATATAAGGTGGATTTAACACTGAAATGTCAAGGTTATATTATGCAAATAAATATGTTTAGCTCGAATGATACTTGATATTTATCAAGAATGAAAAAAAAAATAGGATGTATAACTAAAATGGAAATCCAATCTCACCTAAATGATGTCATGCATGACGAGAAATAACCTGTTAAATAAATAGATGTATATAATGTTATGTATTTTTGTTGCTTGCTCTGCTTCATCAGCTTCATTTTAATTTGGATGAGTAATGAAATATAATTCAAATATATAAATAATCCAGTTAATATTGATTAAGTTGATCTGTAGTAGTCTGTAGAAGGTTAATTATTTTAATTTTTGTATTTTTTTTATCAATCTACGAAGAGCTGAAATAACATGAATAATTGATATCGATGAATCGAATGTTTCAAGTATGTTCTGGTTTTTTGAATCGATGGATTATTCTTATTTTACTTTAAGTTCAACATTGGTTAGACCATGATGAAATATGCTGTTGAAGTGATTAATAAAATGGTTTAAAATAAAATAAAATAGAACATAATCATCTAAAATGTAGAACAATACAATGAAAAGAATAAAATTCAATATGTGCCTCCCTTAGATCAGCCGGTAAGGGCACAGCTATCAAGCAACAGTCAGTGAAATCAACGCCTAGCTTATTCCACAAACATTAAAGCAATATAACGAAGTAGCTGGAGTCGAAATTTGGTGTTAATTCCCCATGAAGCATCCCATTTGTACTCTCTCACCTTGCATTAATTTACAGTTTTCTTTCGCTTGCAATCTTCTGCTACTCTGCTATAATAGTAGGTAAAAAACCTGAAAGAATTTATGAACTGAACCAATATGCGTCAGGGTACCTCATCTTACTGCATTCGTCTTGCACTATTTATGTACTATTAATGAAATAATAAAGTTGCAATATTTTCTATAAAGCAGAAAAATAAGGAATTTGAAATCATGCAAAATAATATAACACGATGCAATACAATATAATATAATAGAATATGAAATGTATTGTAGAATATATAGTGAACTGAAACATACGTGTAATCTAAGAAAAGCAAACAATATACATATAAAAATGTTTAAATCAACCTTGGTTTTGTGGATGTATTAATTGCTGCACAGGTCCGCAGGTGTCACCTATTTGAGCCAAACTTGGCCAAAACGTTTATTTTGGCATTCTGAACAAACACCTTTTTTGATTTTGCTATTGTACCGGATTGATATATAGAGAGTTCGGGTCCGAAGTGCACACAAGCGTATGAGTTCGTCGTGTTGGCTTGTAGGTAGAACGAACATTGGAATCTGTCGGACGGGCAGTCGAGATACAGACGCGAGTGTGATCGGTTCGCCACGTACGACGGTACAGCTATGAAGTGCCTAGATCCCTCTCGGCTACAACCCTGGATTTTCAAGATTTTTAAAAATATCATCTTTCAGAAGAGATTACACCACAACCAAATAAGCTATTCGCGATCTTAGAACGTCAA